ATATATATAGGAAAAAATCAGATCAAAGAGGGGGTCTTTGGTTGATTTTCGAGTTTGATTTGGGAGTCTCCGTCTGGTTTTTGAGAGTAGTAGAGGGAGACTTCGAGGAGGAGAAAGGGGGATTTTTGCTTGCTTGAGTGTGGTGTTGACGGTGGAGAAGAGGAAAGTTTTTTTTTCTTTTACTGGAAGGAGACTGTTTGAGAAAGGAGATTGTCAAGTTGCCAGAGGGATTTCATCTTTGGTTCCCATTGTTAGGTATGAGAGAGTCCATTTGAAAAATTGGAGGAATTGGAGGAACCGATGGAGATAGAGATGGAGATGATTACAGAAGAAGTGAAAAAAAGCAGGGGTTACAGTCGACGGAGAAGATGAATTGCAGTGGAATCGGAGGATACGGAGGAGTTGATGGAGATGAGAGGCGATGGAGAAGGAATCGGAGATAGAGATGGAGATGATTGCAGAAGAGGCAAAGGCAGAAGAGGCAAAGGCAAAAGAGGGAAAGGCAAAGGGGAGGGGCTGGGAATAAGAGAACGACGTCGTTTTGGGTCGGGACTCCAAATTTTTTCGGGAGGTAGGACTGATAGCCACTTTACCGATATATTAATATATAGTGCCTATTCAATATTTATAAGAGTATTATACAAAAAATACAACTTTATTCAATATTTAAGAGGGCATTATACAAAAAAATAACCTTATCTAACCAAATACAAGAAGAAATTGGATCGGAATTGATATTTATTAATTAAAAACAAATTAGCAACTAAGAACAGACTTTGATGTTTTTAATGTTCTTGTCTTTGTACTTGTAATGGTTATGAGGGTATTTTATCCATTGTGTTTTAATTTTCCATAGGTATTCTTGCTTTTTATTTTTAAAAAATGATCTTTTTTACGATGTCATATAACATAATTTACTATATACCACATAATCTAATTTTTTATGTGAGTGCCACCAAAAAGAAGGATTAGAGAGCTTGAGATGAAGAAGGAGAGAGTGAGAGTGGAGAAGAGAAAAGTTGAGAGAAAGTGAAATTGATGAGAGATTAGGGTTTATGTATTTTATTTATTTCTACTTTTAGGATTAGAAAATTAAAAATTAAAAATTGATTTTTAAGTAATTTAATAAAAAATAAATAAATAAAAGTTCAGGTCATTTCGGATGACCCGACCTATCTGTGACTCAATCCATTTGAATTTAGATAATTTCAATCTGGATTATTTTAAATTTCAAATTAACATATAGGACCCATAACCCTACTTATAATGAATCAATTAACTTAAATTTTCAGAGTAGATCTAATTTTACCGGATCTAACGCCCAGTGAGCGCCGTATCCTTTCATATAGCAAAAAGTTCAGCTTTGAT